CCCCAAAACCCCAAAACCCCAAAACCCCAAAACCCCTTTACTACTAAATTATATTGATTTCTTAATTCAGAAGTATAGAAAATTACTTATGGAGATTGCTTGTCATGGTCCACAAATGACCACCCGTCAATGAAGTTAGGATCGCTCTGCACAAGCATCCTCTCCTTCTCGAAATCGAGTGGATGGCTGATTATTATCTGCCCATTTCCTTTTTTAACCTTTCTTTTAAGGTAAGGTAAAGGAGGCTCAAGGCGTTTATTGATCACATCGTCCCAGTTTATATCTCTAAACCACTTGTGCTTCTTGACTTCGTCAGAACCGTTGGTTCCGAGTCTGGTGATTGGGTTTCTGTCCATTAGCTTCACAATCAAGTCTTTCGCATCTTTGGAGATATAGTTTGGGATTTCTAAGTCTTCGTTAATAATGTTGTAAAATAGTACATCCCGATCGTTATCATAATAAGGAGGGATTCCTACTAGCATTTCGAATAGAAATACTCCGAGGAGGTACCAATCAACGCTTTTTCCATGACCAGTTTTCTGCACCATCTCTGGGGCAAGGTATGCATAGGATCCACAGAAGGATTTGGTCTCTTTGAAATCGTAAACTCCTTCCTTGCTCAGCCCAAAATCTGTGAGCAGTGCATGGCCATCTTCGTCTAAGACTACATTGTCAGGTTTTAAATCTCTGAATATAATATCTTTGCTATGAAGTTCTTCAAGTGCAAGGAGCACTTCTGCTAAGTAAATTTTAGCTTTATATTCATTGAACTTCTTCTCAACATGAAGGTATTCTGATAGATCTCCTCCAGGACAATATTGTAGGATCAGAAACAACTCATTCTGTGTCTGGAAGGAAAAGTTGAGCCTAACTATGAAAGGGTGATTCACTACAGATAGAACATTTCTCTCCGTCATTGCATATCTTGCTAATTTGTGCTCAAAGATCTTGTCTTTACACAACACTTTCATTGCATGCAAGGTGTTGTCACTAATCTTCTCGACAAGGTAAACTTCTCCAAAGCTACCTGTGCCTAATAATTCATGTGCGGTGAAGCTATGAGCACCAATATATTCTTTACTACTTGTAGACAGAGCTTTATCATCAAAATTGGTACTTCGACTATTCCCTTTGTCTCTTTCCTCATCTAGTAATTCATCTTCATCAACTGTATATCCTCTTCCCTTATTACTATGATCGGACGAGCTAACGAGTCTCTTCGAATGCTCAGAGACTTCTCTAGAGTAATCATTCTCTCCTAAACCTATTAAACCTCTTCTTTCCTATCCCTTACCATTTTCGCTTTCATTAACTTCCATGTGATACATTTTTTGTATAAATTCTTCTTTATCCAACCTATTAGGTTATCTAAACTCTCTTACTCAAAATTTTCAAAATTCTGTTCAGCCTTCATACTTTCAAGTATGTCATTAATCTCTTGGCCGACTTTATCAATGATTCCTGAGAAAGAACCGGTCTGGTCTCTATATAAGATATTTTAGGAAGGAATTACTGCATGTTTTGTGGCTGGCTTTTGGATTTTAGGCTATATGAGTTAGGTAAGTTTCGGAGTTTGCTTACCCTGCTTTAGCGATTTTGTTGGCTATCGTTTTTATGATGGTCTCTTTGGTGAGTTTGGAAGGGTCCTTGGAGTTGGAGTTTTGGGTGTTGAGGGAGACTGATTTTGAGTCAGATAGAGGTTTTGAGTATAGAGTTGGCTTTTGTTTGGAGGATTTGTGAGGTGTTGAAATATCTTTCTTGTAGCATTCATTGAGTGAGATTTCAATTTTAGGGACAATTTCTGAGGGTTCTTCCTCCACCGAAATTCTTCTAGCATTATCAAAATAATCAACAATCTTCGTATTCTTCATCTCTTTCGCTGAGAAATCACTCGAATCCAGCTCCTTCACAACCCCAATCTGCTCTTTCTTCACCTCCTTACTCGGCCCCTTCTTACACCTAGTCTTATTAACCTTCTGCGACCCCTCTACCTCCTCTTTTCCAAACAAGAGCCTATCCAAATTCCTCTCCTTCTTCTCTTCATAATTAACCCTCTTACTCAACTTCTTCTTAGCCCTTCCCAAATGTGAACTATCCTGGCTGCTCAATGACTTATTGGCCTTCTTGTTATTCCCATTAATATTAATTTTCTTCCTGATGGAGCCTGTCTTCAGCCTGGTTTTGTTAAAATTTTTGAACATTCTTTTAACAGATTCGTTCCTGGTCTGGTGGATTTGGATGTTGTTCGGGGCTTCTTTGGGAGGTTTCTTTGGGCCAAGTGGGGATTTTGAGGGAGAAGTGTACTTGTTGAATTTGTAGATTCTTTTGTTGAGGGAGGTGGCTTCGCGGGATTTTGAACGGGATTTTGTGCCGGTGCTGGTGGTGCGAGTGGGGATTTTGTTGTGTTGGCGGGTCTCGCGGCTGTAGCGTTGGGAGGTGGCGGTGTTCATGTAGGTTTTGAGCAGGCGGTTGATTTCTTTGGAGGTGGAAACTTCGTAGATTTTGTGACCAAGGTCGTCGGATAAAGTCCAGTTTATGGGGAATTTACAGTGGTTTATGAAGGCGATTATTAGGTCCTTGGCGTTTTGTTCTGTGAGGAGGTAGAGAGGGGTCTTTCCGTGCGAGTCTTGGATGTTGGGGTCAGCACTGCTGTTGAGGAGTGTTACAATCATTTTATTTATACACCTTCCTGCAGGCTAGGTGCAGAGCTGTCTCTTTGCGGTTCTTTGTTTGGAGATTTGGGTTCATTTGGAGGTTTAGTAAGTAACAGACAGTTTTATATCTTCCTTCATTAACAGCATAATGCAGAGCGGATTTGTGGGTAGTATCGACAGTGTTAATATCCTTGATTTTACCACTCTTTAAGTATCTTTCAAGTTTATCTCTGACACCGTTGGCTGCTGCATCCATCCAATTTTTGATAGGATTACTGTGAGAAGATTCTGAATTCTCTGAACTCTTAATACTTTCAAGAGTCATGCCTGGCATATCATCTTCTGGAGGTTTATTTAGTTGGTCAATATCCTTAACTTTATAATTCTCTGGTCTTCTAGAGGAAACTTTACTTTCCCTCTGAGCACTTCGCAGGTGAGGCACTGAATAAGACTCAGGTGCTTCATTCTGATATTTCTCCCTAGCATTCTTGGTTTTGTTGTTTGGGATACTACTTCCTAACTTGCAATCTCTTTGTAATGAATCATCTTTGGTCGAAAATCTTTCACCTGAGTTTAGGATAGTAAAGTTTGCGCTCTTTTCCTCCCTCATTTTGGCTCTTTGACTTTTGTTATTGACCATATCTCTTTTCTCAGTTGATGTTTCAAATCTTGATTTTGTTTTGGGTAACCTCTTTGAGCCTGAAGGGCTGAATAACTTGTTTGATTTGGACGTCTTGACTTTACTGGATATAGTCCCCTTCTTGGAGATTGAATAGCCTTGAGAACTGTCTCTTGAGATGTCCCTGTTTTTACTTTTAATCCGAATTTTCCGCTCACTTGAGAGTTGACTGTTATTAGGCTGGAACTTGATTTTACTAGATTTCTTCTCGAGAATCCGAGATACACCTATCCCATATTTGGAAGCCGTTGAACTTCCACGGCTTTTCTCTGAGAAATCTCTACTCCCACTTCCTCTTCTTGATGAATTACTAGGTGATTGGTTTAGGTTAAGACTCTTGTATACAGCGTTCTTCTGGTACAGCATCTTCATGTTAGAATATTTAGACTTTTTCTGCTTCGCGTTACTTCTCTTGGGGATTGTATATTTCTTTTCTTTTGAGAGAGAAGTTCTATAGAGGTTACAACCTGACAAAAAATGTACGAATCAAAGATGCTGATTTCTAAAGGGCCAAAGGTTCGTTGGCATCTATAAATAGGCACGGACCCTGGTATGTATCTTACTCTTTGGAGTTGATCCTCTTGTTGACGCTATGGCAGACATCTTTGCACTTATTTTAAATGCTTGGCGACATCATCGAAAGGCATCCTTGAGTCCTTGCATGAATTCTGCCTGTACATGGCTATTGAACTGTCCGTGCTCTTGTTGCCGAGGGCGTAGTTGGATCTCTTTTGGCCGAAGGTAGAGCTTGAAGAGAGCTTTAACAGATCTTTTTCCCTTTTTGAATGCATAAAATATATTATATCAGCTGACTGTTGGACTCTGGGGTTTTGGGGTTTTGGGGTTTTGGGGTTTTGGGG